ACCGTGATAATCGGAGGTGCGGGGGAAGGACAATAAACTAAACACAAAAAGAAAATACAGTCGATCATGGATTATTTTTTCTTATCCGGGGGGGATTGGGCGCCGGATTTTGAAAAATCCGAATAACCACGAATCATTAAAATTGCTCATTTTTGCACATTCTTGAATAACGTTTTTTTGGTATTTTTCTCCGTCTTTTTAGTATTTAAAATGAGTTTACTATATATGATTTGGCATAAATAAACATATTTTAAAGTGTTAACTGCATTTACTATACCGTACTTACCACTCCAGACTCATGGGGTGATGTATACACGTGCAGTATTTTCATTGTTTAAGTTGTATGTAGTGTATAATGTACTGTATATATGTTTAACACTAAAATCAAACATAGCTACTTTTTTGGCACGCGACACGGTGCTAATCGCCGGACTGGGTCACAGCCTTTAGAGCGGTTTCGCCGGATCGACCCAGGACCGCCGGATAATGTTGTAAGCTGGATAATGTTGTAAGCTGGATAATGGAGTGGCCGATAATCGATGATCAATTGTACATACCATTTAGAAATCCGCGCACATCATCTTCAGCATCTGACCCAGACCACTCATCATCTGAGTCCTTTGCTCATCTCTCTGACCCAGTGTCCATGCTGGACGTCTGTGAAAAACACCTTCATAGGTAGTCGGATTCCTCCTGCACTCTAAATCAAGATTCTGATTCTGCTTGAGGAGTGGCGGCTTTATTTCTCAGCCACTTACTCTCCCTGCGAAGAGCTGCCCCTTGGCACTTCACCTGTTTGACGCTGCAGGATCTCGCCAAAATCGTAAACCGCATTTATTTCAAATGTAATATCACCTCCACTCAAGGGGTTATCAACAGATTGTAAACTAAAATTAAATTCAAAGACAAGGAACGAATGTGTTAAGTAAAAGCCATGAGAAAATAGTGAGTCTTGCACTGCCACCTAAACACAATGAGGCTCGTAGCGTGCCGGGTCACCGCCGCCAAGGCATTCCAGATCCTTGCGGCGACACTCGAGGAGGCCCGACCCCCCATCGTCGAGCCAAGAACCGAGGCTGCGAGAGTCGGTCCTGCTTTGAAGAGCGTTGCGTGTAAACCCCAGGTGTATGACAGATCAGTCGGGCCCACAGGTACATTGGTCCAAGACCATGCAGAGCTTTATAGACCAGAATGGCTCACTTATACTGGATGCGATAGCTTATTGGAAGCCAGTGCAGAGAGTGGGAGTAATTTGCTCGAAGCAGGCTACACGTCTCAGAATTCTGCATAATGCACGAGCTGAAGCCGCCTCAACAATCTTCTTGGTTCTTTCGGTAAAGTCACGTAGAAGGGAAGTAATAAAATAATAAAAATAAAACATAATAAAACAATTCTCACGACGTTTCGGCCACAACGCAAGCAGCCGTCCTCAGGTGAAGACCAGGTCTGTCGGGGAGACAGCGTCTGAATGAAACAGCACAATGCTTGGAGCGTATATTTAATCTGGGTTGGAAGGGGGGGAAAGGGCGCCTTGACAAAATAATTTGCATATCAAGAGGAATTTAACATATTTATGGGAAATGCAGGTATGTGATTAGTACTACTTATGCCCGTGCATTATGCAGGATTAGCAGCATCAAAGGGAGGGGATATGGGAAATGCAGGTATGTGATTAGTACTACTTATGCCCGTGCATTATGCAGGATTAGCAGCATCAAAAGGAGGGGATAGGGGTAGCATTAATAAAGGGAAGGAGTGTTAATAGTATGTAGCTGTAGTAACTAAAACCACCACGTAAACAACTAAAGTATAAACTACATAGTATCATCAGTATACTAAATATACTCTACAATAAGCTGAATTACTAACAGTAAGTAATACATTACAATTCTACGTCGTAAAAAATATAATATGCTTCCATCTAAACTTTATTCTCTTACATCACACAAGTCTACACCGTACTATATACTGCCATAGACAAACCCAACATTAAATTATATACTGTATTGCTATAAACCACACAAATTCCACTCAACATCCTGGCACCAGACAAACTCCACTCTACATCCTGCCACCAGACAAACTCCACTCTACATCCTGGCACCAGACAAACTCCACTCTACATCATGGCACCAGACAAACTCCACTCTACATCATGGCACCAGACAAACTCCACTCTACATCCTGGCACCAGACAAACTCCACACTAGATTTGAAGCTTTCGTGACTGCAAGGATTCATACTCTTAGTTATTTCACTTGATGCAGCAAATCTGGCTGTGATGGTCCCACCTGATGACGGAGACTTGCGTTGCCTCCAAAACGTCGTGATTTTTATTGTTTTATTTTTATTAATTTTTATTTCATTTTTTTGTTTATTTTTTTACCTACGTGACTTTATAAAATCCGCCTCAACAAAACACGTGAAAGCCCTGCATGCAGGGCGTTACGGTAATCAAGACGGGTCAGTACGAATGCATGAGTTCATGACTCAAGATCATGAGCTGACAGGAAAGGGCGCAAACCACGGAGTTGGCAGAGATGAAAGAAACCAGACTTGACCGCAGCCACCACCTGCGCACGCATGTGTAGGCTGCGGTCAAATAGAACCCCGAGGTTGCGTACTTTTGGCAAATCACAACGTTGAACCCCGTTAATAAGCGGAATTTTGATCTCGCACTGGCCCAGCCTGAATCGAGCATCAGAGGCAATGATCATTACCTCGGTCTTGTAGGATTTAACTTTAACCACTTCTGTTCCAGCCATGTTGCTACCTCGGACAGACATTCAGAAAATGCAGACACGCGACCCAGGTTTGTCAGTAAGCGTGTCATCGGCATACTGGTGGTAACATAAGCCATGCCTCTGGATAATATCCCCCAGCGGCTGAATGTACAGGCTGAAAAGCAGTGGTGACAGAACAGACCCCTGCAGGACCCCAAACAGGACGGGCCCTTCAGGTGACACATGGGGGCCCATGGACACTCTGGGAATCTACCTGACAAGAAAGTGGCAATCCACTTTAAGGCGGTTTCACCAAGTCCTGCCATGGTTCTCGTGCACTGTAGCAGAATTGTATGGTCAACTTGTGTCGAAAGTCGCAGAGAGATCAACCAAGAAAAGGGCGGATATCTGTCCCCTATCCATGGACTGAAGGTTATCAGTCACACAAATGACTAGCTCGAAAGCAGGACTAGGTAATATAAAAAATAAACTACCACACTCAAGACAATGTTCCAACTGGGTTGCGACCACCTTCAACAGCATCCCAATAAATGGGAGGTTCGAGTTTTAGCGATAGCTTGCTAATACATCAACATCCAATCCCGGCTTGCTCAGAAGTGGTCGCACCAGGACACAGGGACCTTGCCCTTCGAAAGGGAGGAATTGATGTGAGCAGTGGGGCTAATGTCTTCAATGACTCCTTTAGGAGCCACGACAGGTGGTCCAATTCAACTCGGAAGCAAGTTGCAAGAGGGCTGAGGAAGAAATTGGGGCAAACCTACCCAGAACTGTTTTTTTTTGCCATGAGGCAGATTGTATTGTGGATGAGATTAATCTTAGTCAAAAAAAGTATGGAAATCTCTGCATCGCTCAACAGATGGAATCATCCTGATGGTTGTACAGTCAGGATGTAACAAACTGTCGATCATCCTGAAGAGCACAGCGGGTGGTTCCTTCCCGAATAAAATTTACTGGCAATAAAAATATTGTTGCCCAGAAAGACCGCCTTAAAATAACCCTGTTGACATGCCACCAGAGATTTCTGGTCAACATTGCAATGAGATCTACGCCAACAATGCTCCCTCTCCGTCTTGAAAGGCCATGTTTAAGTTTTGTTCGGTAGAACATTGATCCTGACCCTGGGCCAGAGGCAAACATCTTATCCGGGCTCTCCTGCAAGAATTTCTGTGTTCCACGGTGTCCACGCCAGGCCACCACAGATAACACCTCTGCTGTTTTTGTCTTGGTCTGGGGAGTTTAAGCGTTGAGTTTGATTTGATCTGTTACACAGATGGTCCCGTTTAGTCGCCGGTCGCCTGGCTATATTACACGGGGAGACCCATGATGCATAAGCACAGCAGTGGCAACAAAAAACAAAGACAAAAACAACAATATTGCAGAGAGGGGTGTGGTGAGAGGGGTGCGGGTGTGGTGAGAGGGGTGTGTGTGGTGAGAGCGGTGATAGGGGTGAGTGTGGTGAGATGGGTGAGTGTGGTGACAGGGGTGAGTGTGGGGAGCGGTAGTGTAGTGGTTAGGGCGCCACGCTACGAACCCGGTGACCCGAGTTCGATTCTCGCCTCACAGCCAACGTCAGTGACAATTATCTGAACCGGTCCTGGGCCTCCCCTAGGTCGACTCAAATGAGTACCTGGTGCGGTGGGTAAAAACATTGCCACTGGGGAGACAAAGGCGGCCGGGCGTGGTGCTGGCCACTCACCCCTGGTGTAACGTTCCGGCCTTCATAAGTGCTCGCTAACAGCACTTTCCCCAACAATCTGTGAAGGCTATGCGAAGGATCTTTATCTTTGCGTGTGGCAAGGTTCCTTAAGAAATATTGCACAACAAAGGAATTAGTTAGCGGTCGTAAACGAAACGCACGCGAATCGACAAAAACAACCACAGTGAAAACATCGCGTGAGAAGGGCAAGGAGGCACCAGACAATTATGTGCATGTGCAAGTTAACTCCATGGCCAGCCCCCTCGCCCACTGTTCATTCACTCTTCTGCCCTTCATTCGCCCTCCGCTCTGCACCAAAACAACGTTGGCTTCGCCTCTCCTTTGACTCCAGTGTAGGGAGCATGGGGCCGGTGGAGAGTGTGGGAGAGTGTGGGAGAGAGAGTGTGGGAGAGAGAGGTGAGAGAGTGTGTATACTTGTTGAGTGCGTGTGCGTCGCTTCTAAGTGTTACCCTGTGTATGAGAATTTGAGAGAGGGGAGAGACAGGGGAGAGGTAGGAGAGTGTGTGGAGGGGAGTAGATTTAGATGAGAGGGGAGAGGTAGGAGAGTGCGTGGAGGGGAGTAGAATGAGATGAGAGGGGAGAGGTAGGAGAGTGCGTGGAGGGGAGTAGAGTGAGATGAGAATTGGTTATGTCACAGTGTAGGGGGTGTGTGTGTGAGAGCGAGCGTGTGTGTCAGGGTGAGGGAGGGGTTTGTTTAATCCGGCCTGGTTCAGCACCTGTGTCCCTAACCACGTTGCGTGTCCACACTGTGCACAGATCAATGCACACGCAGTGACAGCACACACGTACGCAGACACACGTACGCACAGACACGCACAGACACACAATCTCACTAAAAACTCACCCCCCTCACCCGCCCCCCCGTGTCATGTCGGCCGTGCCCCCCCCGCCCTCCGCGCTGCCCCCCCGGGCCCCCCTCTCGTCTCGCCGCCGCCGCTACCGCCGCTGCGCGCTCATGGCGCTGAGCGCGGCGCTGGCGCTGAGCGCGGCGCTGGCGCTGGGGGCCGCGCTGGGCGCCCCGCGCTGGCTGGGCGCGCGCACCCTGTGCGAGGCCGGGGCCCGGATCGTCAACGCCTCGGGGGGCCCCGACCTCGACAAGTTCCGCGGCGCCCTCGGCATGGGGCTCTTCACCGGAACCAACGTGCGGCAGTGCGGCCTCGGCCCGCGGCCCGCCGCTATCACCGGTGAGGGGGGGCTGGTGGGTGGTGGGGGGGGGGCTGGGTGGTGGGGGGGGGGGCTGGGTGGTGGGGGGGGGCTGGGTGGTGGGGGGGCGCTGGGTGGTGGGGGAGGTCTGGTCTGGGGGGGGGAGGTCTGGGGGGGGGCTGGGGGGGCTGGGGGGGCTGGGGGGGGCTGGGGGGGCTGGTGGGGGAGGTCTGGGGGGGGTCTGGGGGGTGCCCTGGTGCAGGGTATTTGGGTGGTGGGGGAGGAGGTCTGAGGGGGGGCTGGGGGGGGGCTGATGGGGGGGGGGCTGATGGGGGGGGGGGCTGATGGGGGGGGGGGCTGATGGGGGGGGGGGCTGATGGGGGGGGGCTGGTGGCGGGTGCTCGGGTGCGGGGGGTCTGGGTGGTGGGGGAGGTCTGGGGAGGTCTGGGGGGGGCTGGTGGGGGGGGGAGGTCTGGGGGTGTCTGGGTGGTGGGGGGGGGGCTGGTGGGGGGGGAGGTCTGGGGGTGTCTGGGTGGTGGGGGAGGTCTGGGGGGAGGGTCTGGGGGGGGGGCTCAACCGGCGGGGGTGTGGAGAGGAGGAGGTGGAGGGGTGGACCACGGCAGAGTGGAATTTGGGGGGGTCGGGGATGAATGAGGCGAAGTGACAAGCTGTTTAAATAGCCACCCGCCCCCCTCGCGACACGAGTAATAAATAAGTAGACATTGAATGTGTTTGGGAATATCACTAAACAACAACAAGCCAACGTGCAGTGACTTGGGGGAAGGTGGGGGGGGGGGGCACGCGTGGCGTGTGTGGTGAGGGTCCTTGCCGGAGGGTCACGCCAATGTGACGCGGTTGCTTTTTCGCTGGTTTATATTTTCTCGTCTTTTACTGCCATCCCTATCGTCTCCATTGTCGTGCCGCGCTCAGGTTAAATCTCGTGATTGATTTTTGTTACGTCGCTGACTCGGGTCAAGTCACGCTTACAAGCGATCCTCATCCCGGTTTATAAATTTTACTATTTTTTGTATTTTACCAGGTAGGGCCCACTAAGCTATATATTTTTTTTTTCAGAAGCGACCTGACCATAAACAATAGCTCAATGAAGTGGCTTATCACGTGGACACTTCTAACAGCCAAACACTAAACGCATGTTTCTAAATGTGGAGGGAAAAACTGGAGGACCCGGAGAAAAATCCACATGACCACGAAGAGATAGAGAGAGACGCGCAAACTCCAAATATACAGGAGGCGTCAGGGTCGGGATCGAACCTACGCACTTCTGTACACCAGGCGAGGTAGTTAACATCTCTTAGCTATCATGTCCTCCTGAGTGCTCACCTGGTTCAACACAAATCGACTTCGCCACGAGTTATCTGTGACATCCTGGTGAATTGCCACGGGAATCCCCCGTGCATCCCTCCGCTACCCCCTCCTCAGCACCACGCCTCCTCCCCCATCTCTGCGACTACGACTCCTCCCGACCTGCATTTGCACCCCCCCCCCCCCCATATTCAATTACAGACCTCACATAAATCCAGGCCACAGAACTGTCCGCGTAAAATGCGCAGCAATCAATTCACGGCGCTGCAAATAGTTCCTGGGGCGTTGCCACTGCTCGCGATGAGTGACGACCGGCGAGGCCCTCTGATTGACCGCCCTGCACCGTCCGGCACAGCGACGCCGCGGCTCGACCAGAACATGACACGAGACCGCCAGTGCCGTCTGCATCGTGCTCTTTGTGATGATACATTTGTTATATTTCCTGACCGTGCTAATCCACCGTTGGCTATGCACGGTGCTGCGAAAGAAGTTCAACAAACATACATGCCGCGCGTCGAAGTGCTGAGACGTATTTTAACGTAGTGGTGGTAAACCGGTGGTGCGCGGCGTATAAACTCAATAAATCGATATCATTCTTTATTTCCCCGCGATTAGCAACCTCGGTCACAAAATCTTGCGTGGTGGTGCGTCACAATCAGTTCTCGTGATGCCGAAGCGGTCGGAAGACGACCGTATATGTTAGGAGCTGAAACACGAAGCTTCGCAGTCTGTTGCCGTACAACAGCACCCAGCCTGATGACGATCGGCTGGCTCCGTGTTCCAAAGGCAGATTTGACTCTTCGTGCTCTCGACTTGGTCAGACGGTTAATTTCCGCTCCCCACCCACCCAGACACGCACACCCTCACCCACGCACACTCACGCGCTCACACACTCATGGAATATGAATAGTACCCATTCAGGAAAGTGCCGGTAGTATGCACCGTTGGAGTTGTGAGAAGTGGCTGTAGTTTGGCGTCGTCACGTACATATCCGCCACTCTCTTCTTGTGTTATTGTGTGTGTGTTGGGGAGCGCTTCGAACCCGGCGTCCCGAGTTCGATTCTTGCTCACGATCAACACCAGTGACGATTATCTGAACCGGTCCTGGGTCACCCCTAGGTCGACTCAGCCTGAAATGAGCACCTGGTGCGATATGTAAACATCGTCATTGGGAAGACAAAGGCGACTGGGCGTGATGCTGGCCACCCACCCCCTCGTGTGATGTACCAGCCTTCATAGATGCTACTCACTAACAAAATGTATACTAAGGCTACACGGTGGATCTTTGTCTCGTTGTGTGTGTACAGTTTTAATGATATTCTGCCAGGGGGATCCCCTCCATGCACTCTCCTACCTCTCCCAAATCATCTCACTCACATCCCCTCCACGCTCTCCTCGCTCTCCCCCTCTCATCTCACTCGATTTCTGTAATGGGCCGGTGTGGCTCAGCATTACAACCTGCACTGGGTAGGTTGCGAGTTCAAATCCTGGTTCGGGGTTGACTCGGCCCCATCATCTCTCCCTCCGTGGTCGATAAAGCGGGTACCACTTTACGTGGGTGGAAGTGAACATTGGTTGTCCTATGGACAGACTCGCCTCTGCCGTCGAAAAGTAGAATTTCCACCACTGACCAAGAGCCGTAAACGGAAGATAAGTGCCAATGCCTCAATGCACCAAATCGCTTTGGCCTTTGTTCAGACTCCTGGGGGAATCTTTATGTTAAAGTGGGCAAACCACAGGTGAGTGCTTGGAGGAAGCAGCCAGAACTATCGCTACCAACGATTGTCTGAGCTCTGTGGCCCGAGACTGGGAGGTTTGCGTGGAGAGGGAATCGGAGCACACGTGCGAGGGAGGCAACGCTGTATCCTACACAGATGGAACAGATGGAGATTAGAACGGGCTTTACCCCATCTGGCAATAATACAGGTGTTAAGATGTCCAAACACCAAATAGTCCTGGGCCTCCCCCTCAGTCGACTCAGCCTCAAATGAGTACCTAGTCCGGTGTGTAAACATTGCAGCTAGGGAGACAAAGGCGGCCGGGCGTGGTGCTGGCCACCCACCTCCGAGTGCGCCATAATAGGTACTCGCTAACAGCACATGCCCCAGCAGTCTGTTAAAGCTATATGGGGGATTTTTGTCTTTTGTGGTGCAGTATTCCCCGAGCTGATGCGGCACCGCGAGGGCGCACTGCTGGCGTGCGTGTGCGCATGCCTGGGCACCGCGTGCGTGTGCGCGCTGGGCTGCGCGGCGCTTGCACTCTACAACGCTATGACGAGGCCCTACCGCATCCTCTTGGGCACCCTGGGCATCCACTTGACCGCCGCCGCCACAGGTACACACACACACGGGTGCCAATACCAATACTCGCCATTAGCCACTAAGTGGCGGTGACGTCACCACGGCGCTTGTACCAAGCTAAGTGCATGTTAAGGCCACGTGAAGTGTCGAACGCCCGCTGACAGGAGGTCACGGAACAGACCCAGGTGCCATGGGTCGACTGACTGAGACGACTGGCTGATGCACCATCTGTGCTCCCTACTCTGCCAACTTGCTGTGTTTTAACCACTTGGCACTTTGCTCATTGTTGTGAGCATTGCTTCTCTGCCCTCCGTTGTTGCTGGAGGACAACTGCTTCCAACAGTCCAATAGCGTCCTTCATGAGCCTCCTCCACAGACACCACTGGTACCAGTCATCGGCAAGTTCACTCAGCTCTACTTCCTCTTGTACCACATCACTCCATCTCTTCTCTAGCCCGTGCTGCACCCATTTAGCCCTCTGTCCAGCCGAACAAAAGCTGTTTAGGCATGCGGTGGTGGGCCATGCGGGCTACATGACCCAGCCAATGCAGCCTTGCCTGTCAGAGGAGATCACTGTTGGCACTTTGTCCAGATCTTTCAAGGATTAGTGAGCTCCTCGTATAATCCAGCTTGGTTAAACCCAGGATGGATCGTAGGTAGGCCAGCCTACGCCTTTCTAGCCAGCGAAGATGTTCTATCAGGGGGGTCCACGTTTTGCAAGCATAGAAAAGGGAGGGCATGACCGTGGCCAAGGAGACCTGAAGCTTTGTGTGTAGTAACAAACCAGGTAGCTTCCACACAGCGACACGCAGCCGATGAAAAGATAATGCTGCTAACTGCTTTGGAGTGAGACCTCCAAATAAGTCCTGAGCACATTGCCCAGGTATGGAAAACTCTCCATTCTCTCTACAACTGCTCTATCACCAATTGGGAGTTGTGGGGGTGGAGTGTTTGATGGCACAAAATACCCAGGCAGGTGCTTAGTTTTGGTGGGGCTGAAACTACATTGGGGCTCCCTAAGCTTCTCCTCAGCATGCCTGGCCAGGCTATACTCTTTAGTTCTTTAGGTAAAGTCGATACCAAAGAGTATGGATTCCAGCAGTCACGAAAACTTCAAATCAAGATTGGTCAGGCTATGTTGAATAATCCTTGGCAGGACCTTTCGTTTCTAATTGAGGAGGGAGATGCCTCTGTAGTTTTTACAGTCTGTGTGGTCCTCCTTTTTGAAGATGGGGACCACGAGGGCATCCTTCCAATCCTGCAGAACCCATTCAATGGTTCCAGACTGTTATAATTATTTCATATAGGGCAGTCTATGCACAAACGCCACCCTCCCTCAGCATTTTGCTTGGTAGATCATCTCTGCCCGGCACTTTTCCTGGGCTCAGACTTTGGATCGCCTTCTGTACTTCTTCATCAGATGGCACTTCAGCCAGCCATTGACAGGGGGTGACTACTTATTTCAATATGTCAGGTTCGGCAGCCTTAGCAGGGTCATCCCCACTTTGCCCCATGACGTTTTCCAGGATGAGGAATTTTCCCTCCCTCAAGACCACACAGAAATGCTCAGAAAAACTGCAATCCTGTTCCTGGGGGTCAGATATTTGATCACTTTTCTTTCCCATAATGATGGTAATAGGTGTGGTGCTGAAAGTTACTTTTTTTATGGAGTTAAAGAGTGATTTGTGATCGTTTGCTACTGAGGCAGACTCCATTTCCTCAGCAACTCGCGGCCACCACCCATCCTTGCAGCGCCGCACAGCTCTCCGAACCTCTGAGTGAAGGCTGCAGTAAGGATCCTCATTCGTTGATGTGGATGTTGAGAGTGGGCCTGTCACTTTTTCTCAGCCAGCCGGAACACCTCCTCTGTCAGCCAGCGTCTCTGGGGAGGTTTTGGACTGTGTACCCAAAGCAGCCATTGCAGCTGCATGAGCCACAGTTCTAATCCTCGCCCGTTTCCCCTCGACATCAGGAGTGGGGGACGATTCCAACCCGATGATGAAATTCTCACTTGCAAATTTCATCAACTAGCTGAGACCAGGCCACTGTGGGTTTGAATGGGGTTCTGGATGTCCATCCACCACCGGAGTGGAAGAATGGCAGTTGCATCTTACAGAGGGCAAGCCGATGGTCAATGGGCAGATCAGCTCCACGGTAGGTCCTGGTGTCAAGGACATGGGCCCGCATCTGCTATTCCGTCACTATATAGTCCAGCAGATGTTCTTGCTTGGACCTAGAATGCATCCATGATGTTGTGTGGATGCGCTAATGCCGGAACAGCATGTTGGTAATTACAAGCCCATGGGCTGCACAAAAGCCTAGCAGCCTCCGACCGTTGTTATTGAGCTGATCTGGCCCATGCTTTCCAATCATTCCAGACCAGGTGCCAGCATCATGACCTACTTGGGCATTAAAGTCACCCAACAGGATGACTCTGTCCCGAGTGGCCACTTTAGCCAGCACCTGTGACAGGAGTCATAGAAGGCATCTGACTCATCGGCCTTGCCAGCATCTCTCTACTGATGTTCATTTTCAGTGGGGACATAAGTAACCACGACGACCACTCCTCGCCTCTGGTTGATAGGAAGGCGAGCCCAAAGTAGCCTGGGGATTACAGCTTCCCACACCTCACCGCCACGCTCCCACACCCCTTTCATTCTTTTGTTGAGAAGAAGAGTCACTCCCTGTTGTTTGGCAGTCTCCTGCTCCGAGTAGAGGTCTGTCTCCCCCTCATGGTGGCATGAGCCAGAGTCAGTCCACCGGACCTCCTAAATACTGCGGAGATCCAGGCAGTACCGGTCCAGCTCCCGGCAGAGAAATGGCTGCCTCTCGTCCGCAGTGAGCTTTTGAACATTCCATGTGGCCACCCACCAAATGGGGTTCGGCCAGGAGACATCATAGACGCCTGTTCCCCCGGCACAAGTTTCGTTATATATTTTTCACGTGGTTTAGTGGTAATTAATTGAAGGTGGAGGGGTTACCAGCCCCTCGCACCCGTCCAGAGCCCCCGTTTGGCTGCTGTGGTGACTACAAGTGCTATGAAGGGGTATAGCCGATTTTGGAATTGGCCTTCTCTCCATGGCATTGCTCACATCCACCGAAGTGTTGCCGTCCGGCACCAGCGAGGAGGTAAAGGCTTGTTTTTGCCGGATACGTGGGTATACACACACACGGGTACACACGCGAGTACACAAACACATGCGGGTACACACACACGGGTACACAAGAACACACACCGGTACACACATACACACGGGTACACACACGGATACATACACATGGGTACACACACACTTATACGCACACATGCAGGTACGCCCAAACGAGACATTTATAAAAAGCATACGGATATAATGTAATGTATATTTATAGGCACCTTCACTCAAAGCGCTTGACATAGCTTACAAAACGATCACAGCATGGGATGATGCAGTTGACAGGGGGTGTGCAAGGGTTGAGGAAAGAGTGCTTCGGGATCACGGAAGGGTCGGGGAGAGATGGAGTGGATGGGCGAAGAGAGGGAAGAGAATAGGTGGTGAGGCTCTAAGAGAGGAACGGAAGGAGGTTCATGTACAGGGGAAGTTGATTCCAGTGACGGATCTAACCCGCGACTCTCTGCTTTTGGCAGCACTGCTGGCTTGGGTGGCCGTGGCCATGTTCTGCGGCCTGGCCTTTGCCTCGGACCTCGTGGAGCAGGCGGCCAACGCGGGCGAGCCGGGCGTGCTGCGCGTGCTCACCGAGCACGTGTGGCTCAGCGACGGCGCGTGGCTGGCGCTGGCGGCGCCCTGCGGGGTGGCACTCGGCTCCCTCTCCGCGCATGCTGCTCGCTCTCCCTCGACCCCGTGCTGCTACTGTTGCTGTTCCGGGCAGCGCGGGGCCCGCGGGGGCTCAGGGGAGAAGCCGGTGACGCAACTCGGGGACGAGCTCATGTACTGACGACGAGAACGTGCGTGCGCGCCTGACTCGGAGGGACCATGAAATGCTCTTTTGGTTGACTCGAGCATCGCATGGGACATGGCAGAATTGTGTCCTTGTGTGAGATTCTGTGTGGCCGAGGTCGATGAAGCCGTTTTTTTTCTCAGTTAAAGACGGACTCGAAAGTAATTCTCCAGGGGTTGGATGCTGACTTCGTCTGTGATGCCGGATGGTGGAAGCAGCGCGAGTCGGAACACTGCGACAGTGTTCCCCGTTGTCTCTCCGAGCCACATCGAGACTCCCCCAATCATCACCCCGAGTCACGCTGAGCCTCGCAAAGTCTCCCCGAGTCTCCTTGAGACTCCCTGAGTCTCCCTGAGTCTCCTTAAGACTCACAGAGTCTCGCCGAGTCTCCATCTGACCTCCCCATTGCGGCCAAAAGAGGAGAATCGATCGCCGTGTCTCCTGCGAGTGGACTCGGTCAAGTCTAACGCTGGACCAGCGGAGGATGGTTGCCATGGTCAGCGCGTGAGGTCAAAGGTGACGTCATATCACAGTGTGAGGTTAATGCGTTTGTGGTATGTCTGTATGTCTATGTGTTTATATCTACGTGTGTATGTGTGTCTAAGGTAAAACGTGTGTGTATGTCCGTGTGTCCGTATGTGGGAGCGGTTAACATGTTGTGCTATGAACTTAGCGACCTGAGTTCAATTCCCGCTCACGGTCAACACCAGTAACAATTATCTGCACCAGTCCTGGGCCTCCCATCGGTCGACTAAACCTCAAATGAGTACCTGGTGTGAAGTATAAACATCACCGCTTGGGAGACAAAATTGGCCGGGAGTGGTGCTGGCAATCCACCCCCTTTGTGTGCCATGCCGGCCTTCATAAACGTTTGTGAACAGCACTTGCTGTAAAAGTATGTTAAGGCTATACGGGCGATCTTTGTCTTGTGCATGTCTATATGTGTATCTCTGTTTGAGGCAGTAGTTCGAGAGCAATATAACACTGACACTTTTTATTTCATCAGGTAAGGCCCACTGAGCAATATAGCTATTTTTCAGAAGCGACATGGCTATCACAAATCATAGCTCAACGAAGTGGCTTATCACGTGGAAATTTATAGCAGCCAAATACTCTAAACGCACGTTGATTCTAAATGTGGAGGGAAAAACCAGAGGACCCGGAGAAAAATCCACACGACCACGGGGAGAACATGCAAACTCCAAATATACAGGCGTCATGATCGGGATCGAACCCACGACCTCCTGTAGGCCAAGGGAGGTAGTTAACGTCTCACCACCATGGAGGCCCCATAGGCTCCCTGGAAAAGCGTCGCCGTCACGTGGTCTCCTCGTGTCCCTGCTTCGTCAAGTTGTTCAGCCATCTTGCCGAAGCTGCGTGGTACGAAAAGGGACGAGAACCGAATGCAACTCAAAGTCAATCATCCCACCAGCCTCTTTTCTCTGTAGAGCGTGCGCCGGCCACGGCAACGTATCATCACAAGATAGCCTTTGTACACCCTGCAGAAAGGCATGGACTATCGACCTTAAATAAACCGTGCGACGGTTTCAACCTAGAAACAGCAAAGCATCGTAACGCACAACTGAAAGCCGTCGCCGGCCTTTTGGACCAAGCTCAGAGCCCGGATGAAGAGAGTCGGGGGCGTCGTTTGTTCTAGGGTCTGGCAGAGTATGGAAGCAATGCGGCGTGGAGCTCTCGGAACCCACTCTTATCGGAACCACTTCCAAATCCTCGACAAATTCCACCTGTGCTCAGAAAACAACCCACCCGCATCTGAAAAGGAATGGCAAAAGTGATGTCTGCAATGGTAAAGCTCTTCAACGCAGCCGCTCCTTGGAAATCGAAGCCCCTTGATTGTTTCCGATTAACTTGCGATGTGGGTTCAAGTGAAATGGCCGAAATTCTTGGAGCTTCAAGGAGCCGCTAAAAAAGTGGCCACAAAAAGGGCTTCAAAGCCCGGCCAAAGTGCAACTTGAAAGCCGTGCGAGGTGGGACCATGTTGGTGCTCAGCTGTTAGACGTAGCGAGGCTCAGGTGATTAAGACAAGACAACTTCGCAAGCAACAGGTGCAGTCGATGTGGGAAGGAGAAAGAGGGCGAGAGAGCTCCCATTCACCCATCGTTCTCCACAGCCACAGTCGCACACGCGGGACACGAGAACCGTCAGTGGCATCATCTTCGGACATGCAGAAGACAATGTGTGTGTCTGTGTGTGGGTGGCGTCTAGGGGAGTGGTAGTTTAGCGGTTAGCACGCTACGCTACGAACCCGGCGACCCCAGGTCGATACCCGTTCATGGCCAAGACCAGTGACGATCTGAACCGGTAGTGGGCCTCCCCTAGGTCGACTCAGCCTCAAATGAGTTCCTGGTGTGTTGTGTAAACATCGCCACTGGGGTGCCGTGCCGGCCTTCATCGGTGCTCGCTAACAGCACTTGCCCCAAGTCTGTTACAGGCTATACGGGGGATCTTAATCTTTATTTTGTCTAGGTTTATGTATGTGCATCAGTGTATCTTCGTCTCGGTGTCTTGGTGTGCGTGTCTGTTTATTGTGTGTATTCGCTGTGTGTCTGTATCTTTCATTGTGGGTCTCTGTTTCTACGTGTCGTCTCTTTGTCTATGCATTTCTCTGTTTCTGTGTCTTTATCTGTCTCGCTGTCTCTAGATATGCCCTGTAAGAATAATAATAATCATGCTTATTTTTAAAGTGCATTTCATCTAGAAATATCTCAAAAGCGCTGTATGTAAAAAATACTGTAAAATAAAATAACAACACTTAAAAAATGTACCTGTTGTTGCTGGCTGTCGCGTCGGACCGACGGTGGCTATTGAGTGAAAGTTGTTGTCGACTCCGTGCGTGCGTCTTCACGGTGGCTCAGGAGACTGATACGCGTAGCAGATCACGCACTTAAACTCTGAAGGTTCAGCCCCTGCTCGCCGCACGGAGGGTATCGCGCGTCGACTTTATTGGTTCCATCGAGGGGGTCGATTTTAGGATGCTCATCGATACTGGTGCATCGGTGACCATCATTTCAAAGCTAATTTATAATATTTTGCCCGCTAAATGCCATATCCTATGCCCCGTTGAAGTGCCGTGCTTTGCCGAAAATGGTGGCTCATTGGGCATCAGTGGAAAAATAACAGCGCAGGTATGTATTGGCGATGTTAAATTGACAGGTCCGATTCTCGTCTCCTCATCCCTTGCCGTTCCATGCTTGCTCGGGACTGATTTCTTGGGTAAAATGCCTGTAAAGATTCTAATTGACCAAGGGTGCATTGAATTGCCATCGGGCCGTTGTATGGCCTTTTTACCGTCTCTCGCTCGGATGTGTATGGCCAATGCCACTGTGCAAGCACTGGCGTCTAAAACGGTTCGGATTCCGCCTGGTGCGCAAATGTTCATCCCCTTACGGTTGCGCAAGCCATTAGACCAGACGGCGGCCGCGGGAGGGGTCCTCTTGGGACCCTCCAATACTGCCGCAAAGGGATTGACGTTAGTTGGAGCCCAGACTCTGGCGTCCAACGACCAGGAACCTTTCATACAGGTTCTCAACGCTGGGTTAGACACTTCCATTGTTCAGGAGGGCACCCTGTTAGCCCATGCGTCACCCACACTTCACGAGTAAGGGTCCAGATGACGAGTGGTTGAAATCGCTTTGTTCGGAGAGTGCGGACTTGTCCGAGTCCCAGAGGGATAAGTTGAGGGCGCTCTTACAAGAGTTTGCTGACGTTTTTAGTACGGGGAAATTTGACATCGGCCGTACTACGCTCTTGAGCCACCATATCGATACGTGCGACGCGGCTCTCATCCGGCAGAACCCTTACCGGCTGAGCCCTGCAGAGAAGGAGCATGTTTGGCTAGCAGTTGATGAGATGCTAGCTGCAGACATCATTTCGCCATCCAGCAGCCCGTGGGGAACCCCTATTGTTTTGGTTAAAAAGCATGATGGAGGCTTGCGCTTCTGTGTCGATTTCCGCAAGATCAACAAGATATCTGTGGCTGATGTTTACCCTCTCCCTCGGATGGACGATTCCCTGGACGCCCTAGCGGGTGCCCACTACTTCTCTACCCTTGATCTCTTGTCCGGATTTTGGCAGTTGCCACTAGACGAAGTCTCTAGGCCCAAAACAGCCTTTCGTATACCTCAGGGCCTATTCGAATTCAATCGGCTTCCGATGGGGCTCCACTATGCGCCGACTATGTTCCAACGATTGATGGAGCTGGTCCTGGCTGGACTTCAGTGGGACTCATGCTTAATATACCTTGACGAACATTTTGATCGGTTACCTGCCGTCTTTCTCAAAATGCTTGCAGCAAATCTCAAATGTTAGCCGCAAAAGTTTCACCTCCTTCAAAAATCCGTGCGGTATCTCGGTCATATTGTCAGTAAATTGGGCATTGCGACGGACCCCAACAAAACAGCGTGTGTTTGGACTTGGCCAACCCCCATGTCGGTGGGGAAGGTACAGAGTTTTATAGGATTCGTGTCTTATTATCGCCGTTTTGTCACCGGGTTCGCTACCATCGCAAAATCCCTCCATGCCTTGACGGCTAAGGGTCAGAAGTTTCATTGGGGGGAGGAGGCTGCATTTGTTGCGCTCCACGATGCCTTGGTGAACACCCCTCCCCTCCGCTACCCCGACTTTGCCACACCGTTCGTCCTTGATACAGACGCGAGCAACACCGGCATCGGCACGGTTCTGTCCCAGGTTGGAGTGCGTTGTCGCATACGGCAGCAGAGTGTTGTCACTGGCCGAACAACGATACTGTGTCACACGCCGGAAACTCCTGGCGATCGTTTTTTTTGTACAACAGTATCGCCCCACTCTGACCACGCAGCGCTACAGTATGCGTTGTGGATTGAACAGCCATCAGGCCAACTTTCGCATTGGCTGGAGGTCCTCCTTCACTGTATCCTATCAGAAAGGCAGCCAGCATATGAACGCGGATGCCTTGTCGCGATTGCCACCAAGCGACAGGTGCGCTTGTTTTTTGGGCTTGGGGCGTTGTAAAGCCCCGACCGATGACTCACCCCCCGCCCCTTGCGGCGTCGGCTGAGGTGGCCTCCTCCAAGGTAGCCGACGGTCCCTTGGCGTATGATGCCATCTTTGGCCTTGATCTCGCAGATGGGGGCGCCTCCAGGTGGAGGACGCCTCCCTGGTTAAATTGCGCAGCCGCGTCAAGGAAACGGATGGGGGTAGGGACCGTAGGGGCATAGCCTTGCGTCCTAAGGGATGGCCTGCTAATGTGTTGGGATGGCGGCTTGCACCATTACAATATTGTTGTGCCCACTGCCCTGCGGGGTAAGGTTATGTGGGCAGTGCACGAATGACTGTTGCACTTGGGTGTGCAAAAGTCTTGCCACGCTCCAGGTTGACTTCTTCTGGCCGGGCATGGCAGAGGATGTAGCTGATTTGTTGAAGGGGTGTGTGCAGTGTGCGTGGCGGAAACACCCAGCCAGGCCCTGTTGTCCGTCGTTGCAATCAATTCGGGTCGCCCGCATTAACGAGTTGGTCGCTATAGACATACTTTGTCCGTTTCCCGCCACCCTTCGTGGAAATAAATATTTGTTGGTTGGCGTCAAATATTTATCGCACTGGCCAGTGGCTTGGCCGCTCCCCAACCAGTCGGCGGTTGCCATCACTGAGGCTTTCCTTGATGGCTATGTCATGGACAACGGTGCTCTTGAGCGTCTTTTGACCGATCATCACCATACCACGCCCGGACGGATGGAATGGTGGAACGCCTGCACAGAACTCTGACTTCGATGCTGAGACATCAGGTCGGCGAGTCCCAGCTTGACGGGGACTTGCAGGTTCCCGGAGTTCTGGCTGCCTACTGAATAGCTCCTCATGCATCCATCGGCAATTCGCCGTTCTTTTGAATGCACGGCGGAGACCATGACCCCAAAATTGATGTCCAACTACATGTCGCGCCAAACAAGGCCTACTTTTGGATTCCATGCGCTTTAACCTTCAGAGGCTATTGGAAGCGCGTGAGGCTTCTAGGGCAAATTCTAATTCACGCCAATTGGCTAATGAGCAACTAAGGGGTCTCCGTACTTACACCCATGAGTGGGTTGCAGGTGACAGAGCCTGGCTACACTGCCCACAGGTACCGGTGGATACGTCACCTAAATTGTTTAAACCCTGGAGAGGTCCTGTTGATGTAATTCGGGTCGTCCAACCGCAGTGAGTTCAGATTTGGTTGGGCCGGCGGAGCTGGTTTGTTCACCCGTCGCGCCTCAAGCCCTTCATCGCTCTGCGCAAATTCATCCTATTTTCACAATGCAGGGGCCGAGTGTCACATGTGTCAGACGAGCTGAGGTGTGTGCCCGCTGAGGTTGGTCCTCAGCGGAGTCATGTAATCCCGTCTTCAGGTGCCGCCCGACTGACGCCCCCCAAGTCGCCATCTGCTCCGGCTCCACTGGCTCCGGACGACGAGAACCCATCTGCCCGGCTGGCTTCTCCCCGTGAGGAGCCGGGTTCGTCGGGGCACTTGCATATCCCCCCCGGGACCTCCAGAGAGAGTGAGCCCATCTCCCCTGGGGGCCCGGCCACGAGGACTCGATCAAAAACTCTGCGGTTTTCGTAATCCCCATTCACACACACTCCCACACTGTCACTTGGTTGTCACACTCGGCGGGCCGCATCGGCTATTGGCTGACCCTAGCCCTTGTTGTGCTTGTGGGTGTTGGTACATGGTGTGGGTGGGAGATGTTGGTACTGGGGGGGGGGGGGGGTGGGTTCCAAGCATTCGCGGGTTACTGCATTTTTTTCTCTCTCCCTATCTCTTCTTGCTTGTTGTTTTGTACCTCCACCTCCTTTCCTCGCCCGTTGATGTATATTTGTAGATAGTGTGTATATTGTATAGGTTGGCTGGGGTATTGTTCTTGTTTTGTTGTTGTTGAGGCGCACATTGTTCTTGTTAATTTGTTAGTTATTGTTGGTTACTTGCTAAAAGGGAGTTGTCAGCCAGGACGGCTGAATGCTACGAAGAGGGGAGGGGGAGGGGGGTGATGTAGCGACATCGCTGCATGTCACTGTGTGTGGCCAGCCTGGGAAAGGCATGCCATACAATGTATTGACATCACGGACACCACTGAAGGCCGATGCAGTACCGGCCCTAGCAAAGCTTGAGGAGCATGGACTGCCAGCAACCAGTGGCACCCTGCGCTGGGTGTAGTGCCAGCCCTACAGGATAGGGTGCGGGGGGTGCCGGCATCGGGAACGGGGTCTCACGGGGCCATGGCACTCTGATTGACACGTGACTGGAGGCATCTACCCGGGGACCCCCAAAAGGGGGGCTGGGGGGACCACGTGTCAAGCGGAGATTCTCCTCGATAGTTCGAGAAGGGGGTCGTGGCTAGGGGCAGAGTGAGCCCTGCCACAGAGGATTAAAGCCAGTCTCCCAGTGGGACCGGTTGCTGTCGTGATCCTCAAGAATCTACATGCGACTCCACCGCCTGAAGACAAGACCGACACGAGACCTGGACCCAAGCTTGGGTCCAGTCCATTGTAGCTCCTCCAAGTGTAGTAAGTGTAGTTAGCCTGGTGGACCACCACCATAGGTTAATGTCTGGTAAAGGAGCAGTTACCCCTTTGTGTTAAGTGTTGATATAAATAAATGTGTTGCCTCCAACCGGTACGTCTGAGTTTCCATTTGAGCCCACTACACAATTGTCTACACCAATCCTCTCCAAGCTATCTGATGGACATGTGCTGTGTGTCGGTGGTAGACTCTATTGTCTATTGTCACCATCTTCGTTCCGCAG